ACTGCTACAGAGTGTCCGTACTGTAGGCCCTGTCGAGCTCCTCCGTCCCCTCGGCAGCCAGACATGGCGGAATTTCCGGCGCCAGGCCCTCACTTGCTGAATCCGTGAGAACCGGTAGAGTGCTGGGTTCCATATGTAGAGGCCTAAGTGGTTCCCATATGTGTAAAGTACACGGTATAGCCTCAGAGCCCGTGTTTCCCCGGCAGACTTCTGCCATTTCCATGAGGATTACAATCACCTCTAATCTTCCATATGCACTTAAACGGATGGTCATATGTGTATTTGCTTCCGAAATCTCATTCGGGAAGGATGGGGCTTCCACAGAGTCCCTGTTCCAAGTGGAACGGGTACGTTTTCCCAGTGTTATCCAATCTCACCGAGTGGGTATTGCTACGACTACGGTGAATGGTCTTCTTGTTGCGAGCCCCGGCCTACACCAAAAAGGGGCACAAGTTGCTTGCACAGGGCACTGGAAGGGGCAGCATCCATGGCGCTTTGGTAGGAAATTCCAAGTCGTCGGTCACAACATGACACATAGTGGTCGACTGAAAGGGAACGTCTCAGTTATGTATGTAACTCTCGCTCCTTGAAGGAGGAAATGGAGACATCACGGCTGTTGTACAACCACTGAGCAGCCAGGTCACTGGCTCGGCTCCTCAGCAAAAACCTGGTATGCATTGCACCGGCTGCCTTTTTATGCTCACGCTGTGATCAGTGGCAGCTGGATGCAATAATTGCATGCCAATGTGCATTGGCTCGTTTAGTTACACTCGAAGTAGATTGGTCTCTCGAAGCGAGATCCCCAATTCGTCGGTCACGACGTGACGTCTCCGTTCCCTCCTTCAGGGAACGAGGGTTACATACGTAACCAAGATGTTAGCCTTCCCCTGACCAGGTTAGTTTCCCTTTTACTTTATGCAACCACATCAACTTGAACAGGCCTCAGGTAGGACAGACATATGAGAGCAACATGTCAACATCATTAGCAATGATAACAGGTCCTGGGTGAATGTTTTCATGTAGATAGTGACAGGAAGTCATCTGCCAGACATCTAAGAAGATGACTCCTTCGATATCTCTGAACATCTCCCGCATCACTGTGTTCAACTGCAACACGTGCCAATCACTTTGAAAAATGTTCTGGACAAATACAGATCAGAATCAGAAAGAGCTTTTTAGCCAAGTGTGCTTGCTCAAAGAATAATATACCTCTCCTACCATTTAAATAAATTATGATAAACTTTCTATTAGAAATAATGTTTGCCCAAAAATTATCCATTTTTTATCTGTGTTGAAGGCTTCAATTTATATCAGTTCAAGCATTTTAATTGAAATCAAACCCATGATTTTGGCGTTGCAAATGTCATGATCTACTGCTTGAGCTTCACCAAAGCACACATCTTTAAGCCCCGGTTGTTCTAGACATTCAGTGTTCAGTAACGCATTACAAGTAACGTGAGTCATGTAATCAGATTATATTTTTTCAAGTGATGCATTACTTTCAAATTTACAACAACATATCGGAGTTACTTTTTAAAATAAGTAGCGCAAGTTGACTGACACCTCTCTGTCCCGTGTTGAGAGAAATCAGGAGTGCAGTGCAGAGGCACTTCCTTCAGTCTGAGGCTTATTAATTTGACTTTTTGTGTGAAAGGTTTCCAAAAATAACCTTTGAGCTATTTGTTATTAAAGACAAATAAGCAAGCCCAGCCCAGGTGACAAAAGTAATGCAAAGGTAACTTAATGCATTACTTTCCATAAAAAGTAACTAACTCATTGAGTTAATTTTTATGGAGTAACACAATATTGTAATACTTTACTTTTAAAAGTAACCTTCCCCAACAATGTAGACTTTCATGTATAACAAATACCATAACAAGTACCACATTTTCTTGGTGAAAACAAAGTAGGATTGGAAAGCGAGCATGTGTACCTTTAGTCCTGCAGTGTTTCCAGACTTGATGATGACGGTGGTCTCTGGAGCGCGGCTCAGCAGTGCAACAACAGACTGACAAATTTTGGCCACTTCATACACGTAAAATGTTATCGGGTGAAAAACCAGGTGAGCAAAGAATGTGAAGACAATGACATGATGCCCACCAGCAATTTCATCAATATCATTGCTGATATAATGCAGGTCAGTAATAAGCATTTTGTTAAATCGCAAAGGAACACCGTGTACCCTCCAGTGAATAATGATATTATTTTTCAACTCCACAGCCATCAAGGGTCCACCTGTATGAGGAGTGTGGAGGTCCATTCTTTTTAAATCTAATAAAGATATGTGAAACAAATATTATAATTGTAGCTTGAGAAAGTCATACAACTTTGGAATGGCAGGTAAGTCAATTATGACAGAATTTTCATTTTTGGGCGAACTGTCCCTTTAAGTGGCACTTCAGTAAACAAGATTTGCATGAGATATATATTTTTTTTAAGAACCAACTTCTTCTGTATAATCCATTTTTGTAATGACAAGTTTAAGATTAAATTCTGAAGAACATTTTTAACGTTCTGCCTGAAAAGTGCACCACTTAAGTTTTCGGTATTTTCATCTCTAATGCCAATATATTCATACATTTTTGGGTTAAGTGTACATATACTTTGTATAATTTATATTGTGCATTCATGCTATTGAGTATTAAATTGAATATTGAAAATTGAATCATACTTGCCTGGCACTTTTCTTTCTAAGTACTCGAACCACTGCCTTGTGGTGGAGTCTCCCATCAAATAGACAATCTTGTTTTTAAGACAATCTCCCATTTGTGCAGAACTGAACTGTCGAGTGTTGCATACAAAAGACTTCCAGACATCTTTCAAATAAAACCCTGCAGGAACCGGTGTCATCATGCCAGACCTGCATTTTTCTATTGTGCCTAAATCAAAGAAACATTCACTTGAAAAGACTGTGTTGTAGCTATGTGAATTATTTTGTAACTACATTTGAATTCAGATGATATCTGTCCTCTGATATGTGGTCCGTGTATGTTTTGACCATTTCCTTTTTGGAAAAAAATAAAGAAATCCATACAGAAATGTAATACATGTCATATTGCCTACATGAAGAATAATACTACCATATATGTTACCTGTAAGGCCATATGTCATTTTCAAATATATTAAGTTTATAACATATATAAAATCCTCATAGTAAAATTGGTACACGTTAATATCTAATTATTTTTCATATGGAATTATATATAACCATGTCAACAATACATATCATATTTATATATGCAACATGTATACAAAAATCTGCATGCATGTACTGTATGTTAATATGTTTTTGTAATAAATGTTTCAAATACACATCTATCATGTAGCGCAGTTATGATTCGGGCGACCTGAGTTTCTCAAAGGACCTTTCCCATTCCCATCCCCATCTCTCCACCATTTCATATTATATATACACACAGCAAAATTAAATTTACACTACAGAGTGTTCAAAGTAACACTGAAGCAGTGTTAAAGTTAATGAGGTAATTAAGAGATTAATTGAGTGATGATTGACCATTATTGAAGACACCTGATGTTAACAAGCAGGATCACCAAAGAAGAAAACGACAATTTTTTAAGTCACTATTATAGTGGTCAGTGTTTACTTTAGTCGGGCTCTTGACCCTTGACTTTTTAATATAACATGTTATTTGGCTACCATAACCAAAAAATATCTGCCAAGCTTTCGATAAGAGCAAAATTCACCAGGTGGTGATGATTATCATTTGACATAATCATCACGTAATGACCTGAGTAACTGAGTTAGGATTTCTTTGTTGGTTACATCAACACTGTGAACAACATAAAATCTGGCGTTTTCATATACCTTTAATTTAGACACACAGACATCATGTATCAGCGTGAGAATCACAACAACGGTGACCATCAAAAAGCATGTTGTAGCCAATCTCCAACTCCAACTCCTAATAAACACCTAATAAAACAACTACGTTGACCAAAGTGCTGTACAGTAAGTTCAATTAAAAGAATATAATAGCAAATAATAAATAACAAAAAAAAAAATAACCGAAGGATATACAGTGAAACCAAAAATTATTCAGAGACCAGATATCATTTTTGATATTTTTTTACTAGTGGGTGCAGGACACTATAGTTCATGTAAGTGAGGATAGCAACATAAAGTAAACTGTGACAAATCATATCCAAAAATTCTTCATACAGTGGACTACCAGTAAAATTGATACAAATTTGGGTCCAAAAATTATTCAGACCGAGTCTGGGAAAAACATTGAAGTTGAGGTTTGCATGAAGCTGGATGATAGCATGCCCAGGAGACTATATGCTGTCATTAAGGCTAAGGGTTGCCCGACAAAGTATTCATAGTTGTGTAAATTCTGTCATACTAACAGCTGTCTAATTTTTGGTTGATTGTAATCTATTACATACCTTTCTATCAAAGTTATCTAACATTATCAAGCTGAATTTGTTCTGACACAGATTAACTCTCAGTTCTTGTCATATTTTATTACCATTTTCTAAACTATAGCAAATAAACTGTGATAATGTGAGAAATGTTGAAGATGTCTGAATAAATTTGTTGACTGTATCTATTTGATAAATGAAGTTTACCAACTAACATTATACATACTCTTTTGGTTTCTGTACCCAATATTTAAAAAATGTACAAATGCAATAAAAATATTGGTATCGGTACTCGGTATCGGCAAGTACCAAAAATAAAAGTATCGGCATCGGGCGAGTACTGGAAAAAGTGGTATCGGTGCATCCCTAATTAAAATGGCAAGGGTCAAGAGCCCAACTAAAGTAAACACTAACACTGTAAGCCCGTACAGAATACAGGGCGGTTTGACAAATAAGTTGAAAGAGGCATTACAGTGTCGCCCACGTGAGGAAATTAAATTGTCATGCCACAAACCAATTTGCAAACAATAAACAATTTTTCTCCTTTTTTTCAAACAGGAAACTAGATGGTCAAAATATACACTGACCATATGTAAACATACCAATGGCTGTAGTGTTGGGAAGGACATGTATGATTTTTTGGTCTCCACTAATAGCAACATTTGTTAATTTCCTGTGGAGAAAAAAAATAACACATTTTCTATATTTTTTGTTTTACAATTCTACAACTACTCTGACATTCACTTTGAATCATTACTTTGTAAAAATTTGCTGCTCAAAAGGATTTAATGGGCTTTCCAAACGTCCGCCTGAATGATGAACCAGTTTGTCACAGGAAAGTTTCTTCGGTCTCTCACACTGCCACACCGTCCCTGTTCTTATATCCCTATGCTCACAACAGCAGTCGCCTTTCCTCCAACTTCCATCTGCACCCCACTTAAGATTACATTCTACTACTTCACGGATCCTGGTTTTATTGGGTCCTGATCCTTCAAAGTAGCCATTAAAGTGGGTGCGTGGGAATGAAGAGTCCCTGTATTTTTTAAGAATCTGCACAACCTCACTGGAGTGCTCTAGACGTACATGAACTTGTGCCTGACCTTCCCAGGGCAGAAGAAGAGCAACAGAGTAAGTCCCATTAAACTTTAAGCTTTTAAACCTAAACATAATATGTAATATTTTGTAAATAAAAACAAATCAACAATTAATGCAAGTATGTACATTCTTTTTTCACAAAAATGTGTTTTAAAAATAATATATTATAAAATATACACACCTTTAGCTCTGTACTGAAAAGTTTTGCTTTGAAAAAGTCTCCTCCATATCTTTTCAGGTTCTTGTTGTGGTCTCTGGCTGTGATAATAACAGAGATAATTTCTCCCACTTTGTAACTCTCTTTGAGTCCCACAATAGAGAAAGTTGAGTGGACTGGACTTGTGCTCTGAATCAGATGAGTGATTTCTT